CAGACAGAGGGAATAATTAACTTACTCATTCCAGAAGTAGGGCAAAACATCCCGGAAGGCAGAGTCTAGTTCTGCAGCAAGAGCGTGTCCCTCTGCGGGAACCCAGGCTCCCGGCTCTATGTCCCCTCCAAGGTGCTCTGTCCCAAGTCTCTCTGAAGGGCCCTCCCTGGTGGCTGGCTGATGGTCTGGCATTCAGAATGAGTCGATGGGAAATAGCAATTGCTCCACTGGAAGGTAGGAGTGTGGGCTGGAAAGATGGCTTCATGGTAAAGTGCCTGCTCACCAGCATGAGGACCTGAGTTGTGATCTCTGCCACCCACACACAAGTCAGATATTAGGGTGTGCAGCTGTTAGCACCAGCCAGTCGAAGGCCGGCAGATCCTCAGAGCTCACTGGCCAACAAGTCTAGCCAGCTGGTGAGCCTCAAGTCCACTGAAATGAGATGGAGGGCTGGAGAGATGGCTCAGCGGTTAGGAGCGCTGAATGTTCTTCCAGAGGACCCAGGTTCAATTCCCAGCAACCGTGTGGCAGCTCACACCTGTCTGTATAACTCCAGTTTCAGGGGACCCAACACCCAATGGGAAAAACACCAGTGCATATAAAGCAAAATTTAAAAAAATAAATAAGGTAGAAAGAAATAAGAGGAAGACACTCAAAGACACACTAAATAAATGTAATCTTTAAAATAAAATCTTAGCGTAATTTAAGAAGAGGTAGATGTGCCAGACTTTCGTGCCGCAGGGTTGGGGAGCTGGCCCCCCAGGGGGAAGGAGCAGTAAGCGAGGCCATGGCTCTTTCCCTATCTGTTGACTTCAGAAGTGGGAGTTTCAGGGCCAAACCAGAGGTCAGCTTTAGTGAGTCTGCTTGTATTGGCTCCAAGGAACTGCGGAGGATTAAAGTTCTGAGACTTTCTCATGGTTCTTCTTCACACACTAGTCTCTTTCTTCCGTTGATTAAAGCAGGAATCAGCAAATTCCTTCTGTAAAGACCCGGACTGCCAATCGTTAGGCCACACAGTGTGAAATACAGACCACTTGATCCTGCCAGGGTGATAGAAAAGCAGCTAGAGACACTCTGAACGAGTGGATGAGGCTGTAACAGTCGTATTTATGGACATTAAACGTGAGTTTCTTCCAGTTTTGACACACCATGAAACAGGATCCTTCTTCTAATTTTTCCCAAACATTTGGACTGATCGTTCTTTGCCTGGAGGCCATGCAGATATAACTAGGAAGCCGAATTTGGTTCATGGGCCATAGTTTGCCAACTCCAGGAACAGAGAGCCGTACAAGCTTCCAGCAGAAAGGATGCCCACCACAGGTTGATCCTGAGTAAGGGCCTTTGTACTAACAGGAGCTGGGGTAGAAAGGGTTAAGCACTGCATTCCAGAAATGGGAGGATGAGGAGCTATTATTGTTCAGCCTCTCTCGGCTGGCCCCAGACCTGCTCACTCTCTTGAGCACATGCCACGAGGGGTACCCTCCTCTTCATCAATGCTTCCTACTGGGAACTCAGGCACGGAGAACCCTGGAACAGGGGTCCCTTTGGAGGCTTGGTCCCAGCAGAAGGCAGCCACTGTTTTGAGCATCTGCCTTCTCCACTAGCGGCAGGACCCTCTCACCAACTTTCTTGACACCCCCCCCCCCCCAGTCCCCTTCTGTACCTCCCAGTTCCCAGGATAGCCCTCTTGAATTTTTTTTTTTTTTTTTCTGGAGCTGAGGACCAAACCCAGGGCCTTGTGCTTGCTAGGCAAGCGCTCTACCACTGAGCTAAATCCCCAACCCCCTGCCCTCTTGAATCTTACACAAACAAGATTGCTTGGGTGCTCTCGGTGCATTTCCAAATGACCGCTTAGATTTATTTTTTTATTTTTTTTTGTTATACAAGGAGTAGTTGTTTGTTAGCACTGTCTTCCGAGTAAAGATGCTGGTAAACAAAGGAAGGGAAACATTAAGCATTTCAGAACTGAAATTTCTCTGTTAATGGAAAAATCCCAGCTAATGCAGAACAGCTGGTAAAATAAAACTCATTTGAGCTTGTCTGGGGAAAAGAAGACAATTTTGTTAGCAACAGATTTTTCTTACTAATTGTGTTTGTTGTTGGGTTTGCTGGTTTGCTTATTTCAATTCCTGCATTCCCTAAGAAGACTGTAATATCATGCAGGAGACAGGAAGAAGCCTGTTAGTCTGGCCTTCGAGATGCACTTCAGATAATCCACCGAGGGGAAGGCCTCATAACCAAATATTGACGTCCTGGGAAACGGCCTGATGTTAAGCTGCTGAAAGACGGACTTGGCTCTCTGGCTTCTCTTGTAGGTCCTTCCATAGTGACGCCCCCCAAGGACATCTGGAATGTCACTGGTGCCAAGGTGTATCTGAGCTGTGAAGTCATTGGCATCCCGACCCCCGTCCTCATCTGGAACAAGGTCAGTAGTGCAGACTCCAGGAAAGCATCCTGCAAGCTGGGACGCCCTTCTCGCATGGCACAGCGTGGTAGGGATGTGCAGTTCGGTCTGCAACACTGCCTACCGCTCCTCAGAGCTGAAGCCTGTGGCAACTGATGCCACCTCTACGTTAGCAGCTGTCTTTCCTGACCTCCACCTGTCTGTCCCCTCCCTGATTTCATTTGCAGTGTTCAAGTGGGGAGTCCAGGAAACTCAGAGAATCGTGAATGTCTAAACCCGCTGTGTTAATTACTTTTGCATTGCTGTGACCAAAATACCTGACAGACTCGTTCAAGGAAGGGAAGGTTTATTTTGGCTTCCAGTTGTAGAGGGTCACAGTCTACACAGCAGGAAAGGCACGGTGGCATCACTCAGTCCATGGTGGCAGGACCGTGTAGCAGGGGCTGTTCCTATGGCAACGGACCAGGAAGCAGAAAGCAGCTAGAGCAGAGGCCTGGCTGTACCATTCAGAGGCCCGCCCCTGGTAACCAATGTCCACTGGCCAGGCCTCACCTACTAAAGCTTCCACAGCCTCTCCACATAGCATCACCAGCTGGGGGCACACATTCAAAATCGGACTCTTACGGGGGCAATTTCAGATTCAAACCTTAACAATCACCCTCAGGGTGCCTGCACACGTGTGTATGTGGGTGTGAATGTGCGTGTGGTTAGATGACACCCCACCCCCACCGCCACCACCAAGAGTAGACTACAGCATAACGATTAGGAATGTAAGTCCTGGGGCGGGCGGGCAGGCGGGAGAGATGGCTCAGTGGTTAAGAGCACTTGCTGCTCTTCCGAGGACCTGAGTTCTGTTCCCGGCACCCACATGGCAGCTCACAACTGTCTGTAACTCCAGTTCCAGAGCATCTGACACCCTCTTCTGGTCCCTACAGGCATCAGGCACATACGTGGTACACTTAAATACTTGTAAGCAAACATTCATACACAGGAAATAAATTAAAGAACAAAAGAATACTAGGACCTCACTTTCTGCCCCCTAAATGTTTCCCGCTCCTGTTTGCCAGGATCTCAGTGGCCTCCCCTGAGACTCAAGTCCTTAACATGGGCTGGCGCCTTGGAGCCTGTCTGTTGGTAGAATTTATTCACAACCCATAGGAGAAGGTGGGGAGGTCTGGCTAAAAAAAAAAAAAAAAAAAAAAAAAAAAAAAAAAAAAAGCTGGGTGGCCTTCGGTGTCGGTGAATATAGGTTATTTTCATCACATTCCCTACACACTGGCAAATAGGAAAGATTTTAAGAGCCGTGGGAGTGAGCTAAAAGGAGCAATGTGGGATCAGCCCCTCTAAGTCTCAAAGCTGTGGGGCTCTAATGTAGGGACAGAGCTGCTCTAGAACATCAAAAAGACACAAGGGCGTCATATCAGGAAAGATTTCTCCTCTCTGAATGTCCCTGGACGCTGACTCCAAGTGGAAAAGCATGGCATTCTGAATAATCGAGCTTCAGAATGGCTTTCCAAACGGAAAAATAATGTGAATTTCCCAGCCAGGTTGGCTGGAGCCTCTGTAAGGCAGGACCTCTCATTCTCAATGGACCAAATAATTCTTTGTTGTTGTTTCAAGACAGGGTTTCTCTGTGTAACAGCCCTGGCTGTCCTGGAACTTGCTATGTAGACCAGGCTGACCTTGAACTCACAGAGATCCACCTGCCTCTGCTGGGATTAAAGGTGTGCACCACCACCACTGCCCTGCTGGGACCAAATAATTCTTTTGGTATGGTTGGCTTGTGCTTAGAAAATGTTTATCACCACCTCTGGCCTCTACCACTAGACACCAACAGCACCCACCGCCCACCTGCCCGTCCCTGTTGATTATTAGAAATGTCTCCTCACATTGCCAAATGCCCTGTGAGGAGAAAGCATCACCTCGGAATGAAAACCCGCTGAAATAAGCCTCAGCTCATTCTTCTGTGTGAAACAAGTTGTAGCTAATTATCCAAAGTTTTGTTTTTGAGACAGGACCTCATATAGCCCAGACTGGCCTCAAATTAACTGTATAGCTGATTATGATCTTGAACTCCTGAAAGAACCTCCTACCTCCGTTCCCCAAGTGCTCAGATTATAGGTATTCACCACCACCCCCAGGTAAAGGTAAAGATTAAATAATCTGAAAGGCTAGAGCGATAGCCAGGCAGTTAAGAGCACATGCTGTTTCTCTTGCAAAGGACCTAGGTTCTGTTCCCAGCATCTAACTGGTGGATCACAACCATTCGTCATAACTCCAGTTCCAGGGGATCTGACCCCCTCTTCTGAACCCCGGTAGCACAAGGCATGCACATGGCGTATGTTCAAACCTGCAGGCAAAACACTCAGACATAAAATAAAAATAAATACATCGTATAAAAAGAGATCAAATAAATCAGGTAGAGTCACGTGGCTTAATGCCAGAGACGTAGCACTCAGTGGCTGCTCTTTCTGGAAGTCCTGCCCTTCCAGTGGCTTTGTTCTTATGTAATGACCTTCATGTCTGAAGGTCAACATAGTTTAGCCTGTCAGTAGAAGGAAAATGGAAAACACCAATTTTCCAGATTAAAAAAAAAAAAAACAAAAAACAAAAAACAAAAGAACCTCACAGCTAGACCATACATTTACAGCTTTGTCTCTTTTGTACATTTTAAGGCCTTCCACCTCATACCAAGTCTATGAAGTAAAGAAAAATCTTCAAGCTCATGCTAAAAAAGGAAATTTACTTTAAGCAAAACAGCAAAAAAACCAGACCACACCCTTTTTAGCCTGTTTGCTTTTTCAGCAAGTTCAAAACTGGACGATAGTTTCAATTATTCTGTATGTTTGTTGTTTGGTCAAAGGGACGACTTCTGGGACTCTGGGAGGGGTTCTGGTCCTATGGTCAGAAGTCTCTCTCTCTAACAGACTATAGAAATCCAGTTCGTGTAGCTGAGGGGCGAAAATAAAGAGAAAAGAAAAACAAGGCAATTCCAGCCTCCGGACACCCTAATCTGATCAGGACTGGAATTCTTGATCTCTGTTCTCGGTCTGTTGGCCTCACTTTCTCCTTAGGAAGCTTCCTCCGCAGTGGGGCGGAATTATCATCACAGTTTAAAGACCTCAGGGGCAGGAGAGCTTTCCCAGCTGCCGGGTGAGAAGCCTTAGACCACATCAGGGCTCCTGGCAGCCTCTGGTGCCCCCATGTGGCCAGAGGGATTCGGCCACTTCAGAAACCACCGGGGCTTGAGCGTAGGTAGTTACCAGCAAATGCTTGGACCATGGTTTAGGCAGAGGTGACCCAGTTCCAGTACATCTGTCCTTCACGGCTGAAACTTCCGTTAAAGGGAAGAATCTGCTGCAACCAAACTACACTCTGAGCCAGGTGTCAGGGAGTATGTACGGGGGAGGGTGAGACAGGGGGATGGTGAGTTTGAAGCCAACCTGAGCTATGGATCAAGAGATCCTTCAAAACAGATTAAAATAAAACAGCTGGACGCCTAAATGACTTCATGATACCCCTGATTCTCCCCCAGTTGATCATTTGTGGATAACAGGATTTCTTTTTAAGATTCTTTTTATCATTGAACCCCTCCCCTGTGGGAAGGGGGGCAGAGGGTGACATCAGTGTCTCTCTCAATTGAGCTCCGCTCTACTTTTTGACCTAGAGCTCACTGTGAGCTAAACTGGTTAGCCAGCTAGCCGCAGGGACCTTCTGGTCTCTGCCTACACTATCCTGAGATTATAGGCTCTGATGATAAAATACTCCCCCCCCAAATATTATCCCATTTTACTAATATAAATTGTTTCAGCAGCTACTTGGGGAATTAAGGGAAAATTCCTATTTATGCATGTCTTCATAGCTTTCATTCAAGACACTAAATACCTGGTTTTCTCTCAGTATTTGGAGAAACATGGGGGGAAGCCTAGGAGAAGATGAACATTCACTTTATTATAGAAAGAAAAAAACTCCTGACACTGTAAACCCTTCTCATTACAAAGACAATCAAAATGAACACTGGCTGGGCTCTTAAAGAGGCCTGGATAGAATTAAAGGATATTGTTTCGTGTAGTTTTTTTTTTTTTAATTCAGTTTCCACAAACCTTAAAATATTTGTACTGAAACTGAGCTGCTAAATCCGTTACCCCATAAAAAAAGGGCCTTTTCCTCCTGTTCTTTACTTATTTTCCCAAGTTCTTCAAACATTCGTTGACCTTTAAAATAGGTGGGAAAGGACAGATGTGAAGTAAGGATTGGCCATAAACCAAGAGCAGTGAATCACCCACAGCCTTCTGAATCCCGCCGTGGTATGAACAGAAACAGGCAGGTTTGTCACAGCAACACGTGACAGGCGTTTCTGACCTCAGGTCTTCAGGAATCGTTTCATGATTCCCAAAGGTCCCAAACATCAAACTAGCCCGGGTGACAACTTGCCAGTCAAACATGGCCTGTAAGACAGGAAAAAAAGGCCCGATACCAAGGAGCAGACTGTCCAAGGGCACTCACTAGTGAAGGCAGCCTGCAGCAGGGTGACCATGTATACTCCACAAGTTTTCCGGGAAAAGCTTAAAACATGATGCTGAAGCATCTTCTTCAGGAAAACACCAAATGGCAGATGCCAGACGCTGAAGCCGGTGCAGTGGGAGGACCCAGAAGACCTGGGGGCCCAGGATTAGGAGGCAGTGGTCTTAGGGGCTACGGGGCTCGTAGAGGTAAAGCTGAAGACAAGGAGTGGATCCCCGTCACCAAGCTGGGCCGCCTGGTTAAGGACATGAAGATCAGGTCCCTAAAGGAGATCTACCTGTTCTCCCTTCCCATTAAGGAATCCGAGATCATTGACTTTTTCCTGGGCGCATCCCTAAAGGATGAGGTTCTAAAGATCATGCCAGTGCAGAAGCAGACTCGGGCTGGCCAGCGGACCAGGCTCAAGGCTTTGGTCGATATTGGGGACTACAACAGTCATGTTGGTCTTGGTGTTAAGTGCTCCAAGGAAGTAGCCACTGCCATCCGAGGGGCCATCATCTTGGCCAATCTGTCCATTGTCCCTGGGGGGAGAGGCTACTGGGGGAACAAGATTGGCAAGCCCCACACTGTTCCGTGTGAAGTGACAGGCTGCTGTGGCTCTGTGTTGGTGCGCCTCATCCCTGCCCCCAGAGGCACTGGCATCGTCTCTGCTCCTGAGCCCAAGAAGCTACTGATGATGGCCAGTATTGATGACTGCTACACATCAGCCAGGGGCTGCACTGCCACCCTGGGCACCTTTGCCAAGGCCACCTTTGATGCCATCTCCAAGACCTACAGCTACCTGACCCCCGACCTCTGGAAAGAGATAGTGTTCACCAAGTCTCATTATCAGGAATTCATTGAGCATCTTGTGAAAACCCACACCAGGGACTCTGTTCAGAGGACCCAGGCTCCAGCTGTGGCCACCATATAAGAAAAAATTTATTTATACAAGAAAAATAAAGTGAATTAAATCTGTTTTTTAAAAGATGCTTAAAAGCCAGGTACACATCATTAATCCCAGCACTTGGGAGACAAGAGGCAGACAGATCCTCCTGGTCTATATACTGACTTTCAGGCCAGCCAAGGCTACATAATGAGACCCTGTCTCAAAATAAAACAAAAAGCCACATTGCTAAAGTAAAACTGGCAGGAAGAAACAACTCTATTTCCTACATCTTCAGAAAAGGGAGGGTCTGAGTAAATTGCTGGATTTAATCTAATTACATTGTGGTGGACACCTTGTGCAGTTCTGGGAATGTGGCATTTCCAACTTGATGTGTTTGTGCAGAGAACTAAGGCTCTCCTTTCGTTTTCTCAGGTAAAAAGAGACCACTCTGGAGTTCAAAGGACAGAACTCTTGCCTGGGGACCGGGAAAACCTGGCTATTCAGACCCGGGGTGGTCCAGAAAAGCATGAAGTGACTGGCTGGGTGCTGGTGAGTACCAAGAGCCGGCAACAGTTTCCTTCTCGGGAGTGGACACGAGGACTTGGCAAAAGTCACCGGTTGCCTGCCCAAAGCTATTTTTCTCCCCATTTCTTCGGAGCATCCAGTGTTGCCGATAACTACAGGAACTAATGGAGGAGCTGAAGTTACTTTGTTTTAGAAAAAAAATAAGAATTAAGAGAATTCTGTTTGCCAAAAATTCAAACCAGAGTTCTCACACAGAACTAAACGGCCCAGGCACTAATTATGGTTATTGGTTAACAAGTAAAGTTTACTTAACTTTGATCCTGTGGGTATTACTCAGATCCTAGCACCCAGTAAGGCATCCCTCCAGCAGGTGTGTGCGCCTATCCACATTTTAACTCCCCCGTTGTGATCAGATGCCATCCATGACGAGGGGTATGGTAGCTCCACAGCCTCCCAACACAAGACTTTACTACTTCCAACCCTCTGCTCATCCTAGGGACCCTAGGTGTAATGGAAGCCACTGGGGGGGGGGGGGGTTGAGGAAACCACCCCAGAGAACTGAGGAGCCTTTATCTTTCACAGGTGTCTCCTCTGAGTAAGGAAGATGCTGGAGAATATGAGTGCCACGCATCCAACTCCCAAGGACAGGCTTCAGCGTCGGCCAAAATTACAGTGGTTGATGCCTTACATGAAATACCAGTGAAAAAAGGTATGTACGTCATCTCACCGTTTAAAAATGAGGGGTGTTTTTGTTTAATAATCGTGTAGCAAAGTAGCATACATAACAATTAATAAAATCCTGAGACGTACAAGATCCAGAAAGGCATTAAGTATATGTATTTAAAACGAGGTCCTCAGGAGGCAGAGGCAGGCAGATCTCAGCGAGTTCGAGGCCAGCCTCGAACAATGCGAGTTCTAGGATAGCCAGGACTGTTACACAGAGAAACCCTGTCTGGAAAACAAACAAAAAAACCCAGGTCCCATGCCTCCAAGAGAACATGTGGATGGCTGAGGGCTCCTGTGGCTTAGAATCTTTCACCTCATCTCACATAGGAGAATCAAAACTCAGACTTGACTGGGTGGCTTGTATTTCCTGTAACTTCTATCTATGTGGCATTTCGCTTTGTTATGACTATTATATTCCATCTCCATTTAAAAGGAAGTGATTGTGGTCAATTTGGTCCTTCACCTTGAGCTTTTAAGAAAAAAAAAAAGCTAGACATGTACTGCAATTCCAGAGGACCTGAGTTCACTTCCCAGCACCCATATGGGGTATCTCACAACTACCTAGAACTCCAGCTCCAGGGGATGCTATGTTCTCTTCTGGCCTCCATAGGCACCCACACATGCATGGCATACGTAAATATAAAAACACATTGTGCATAAATAAAAAATAAATCTTAAAAGAAAAAAGCTAGACAGGAGAACATGTTGGCAAATACTCAATTCTGTCCTATTTCACTGTTAAAAAGCTTCCTCCAGAGGACCCCATGTTTCTGTAATGCTACTTTACATGTAGATAGCTCTACAGAGTGCTGCCTGACTAGACATTCTCTTAGACCCAGAAGAACAAGACTGTCTGCAGCTGTTAGTCATTTCACTGGGCAGGTCACTCGGCTGTGCACTGAAAGGAACATTACCAAGGACCAGTGTATTTGGTCAGATCCCTTTCCGCCAAGAAGTGTGGTAAATAAAGCCAGGCAGTGAAAGAGCTGAGAGCCAGGTCACCTGTGGACATGTGAGCTCTGGAACGTCCCCCTCCACCTGCAGCTCTGAATGAGCTGGACTGCAGAGTCCCTTCGCCTCTCTGGATTGTAACTTGAAAAGCCCCCCTTTCACACATGACCAGTACGGCTGTACTGGCTCTCATTTTTTTTGTTTGTTTGTTTGTTTTGTTGTTTTTCGATACAGGGTTTCTCTGTGTAGTTTTGGTGACTATCCTGGATCTCACTCTGTAGACCAGGCTGGCCCCGAACTCACAGAGATCCACCCGGCTGTGCCTCCCGAGTGCTGGGATTAAAGGCGTGTGCCACCACTGCCCAGCGCTGGCTCTCATTCTTAAAACCACAGAGCTCACAGTCCATGGGGCACTCCAGCATATCACTATATAATCACTCACGCATCCTTTCTTCCCATGCTTTTGTTTTCTTGCCCCACCCCACCTTTTAATGTGGTATGAGTGTTTTACCTGCATGGATGTCTGCAATACCTGCATGCAGTGCCCTTGGAGGCCAGAAGAGGACATCAGATCCCACAGGACTGGAGTTTCAGACAGTTGAGAACTGCCATGTGGGTGCTGGGAATCAATCCCAAGTCTCTGGAAGAGCAGCCAGTGTTCTTAACTGCAGAGCTACCTCTCTAGGCCCTTGTTTGTTTTCTTTGAAGGATGAGGTCTCTGGCACATGCCTGCAATCCCAGAACTTGGGAGGCTGAAGCAGGAGAGTCATGAGTTCAAGACTGACTTGAGCTACATAGTGAGACCCTTTCTTGAAACTAAAAGGAGAGAAGAGGATGAGAGAACAGGTGGAGGGGGTCTCTCTAGGTTGCCCAGGCTGGTCTTCAACTCCTGGGTTCAAACAATCCTCCTGTCTCAGCCTGAATACTGGGTCTACAGGCACATTACCATGCCCCTGCCTGTTAGCCCCATAATTTAACATTTTCATTGATTTAGAAACTGACAATCTGCCAATTATGTCCACATATGTAACTAATTTTTATTTCTTTCTTCTTAAACAGGTCAAGGTGCTCAGGTGTAAACCTGCAGAATACATCAGCCCATGCAGCTGAAAGTGCTTACTGCCAGCCCTAACCCTCTTCGTGCCTGACAAGTTCCTTCTAACCTAATCCACTAACACTGTACTATTACATCAGCTGATTTTTCATGGAGAACTCAAAGACAACACATCAAGACTATCTACAAAAATGTATTGTTTATTTACAAAAAAGCATGCATAGCTTTAAACAAAACAAATAAAATTCTTATCACAACAGTAGTACATTTTGTCATTTTTAAAAAAAGCAACTATCACGGAAACAAGACACTGATATTTACAGTGTCTGTCTGTGAACTTCCAACAGAACTACACACTCATCATTCGAGGTGCGATACTCATGGACATAAGCTCCTGGAACAAGAGTTTGCACGCATAAGGCATTCGTACCAAAGAAATCTGCAAGAGAAAAGAAACAGTAATGAGCAGAACTGTATCAAAGACTCCGCTTTATACCACACTTCCGGTAAGAGGGAGGCTGTGTGCACCCACCCTGCGCCTCAGCCTGTCCCGCAGGTTTTAGTAGTTCCTCCTTTCTGCCAAAAGACATGTATTCACTCTTCCTAACTGATGAATTTTGTTTGGGCTGAAGCGTGCTCAGTGGTTAAGAACACTGGCTACTCTTCCAGAGGACTGGGGTTCAATTCCCAGCACCCACAGGGCAGCTCACAACCATCTAACTCCAATTCCAAGGGACCTGATGCCCTCTTCTGGCCTCTGTGGGCACTGCATGCACATAGTACACAGACATACATACAGGCAAAATACTCATATTTAAAAAATTGTTTACAATCCCTCGTGCAAGACCATATTATTTCAGAGAAATTGCTTTTAAGCTTGTTTTAGAAAAGTCAAATTATCTTTCCTTGTAAAACTAGTAATCTTAGACCGGTCATCAAAACTGGAAATCCCAGCCTGTTCCACCATACTAAATCTGCCCTGACTACATCCTAAGAACACCTACACAAAGAGAATAAAGTGTCCACGCACCTGGGTTTTGTTTCGGCAGCCCCTGCACTCATATGTATGTGTTCTGGTGTTAGCAATCGCCATTATTCCACAAAGATTACAAACATGAACCTGATACGGATCTGATGCCTCAAACAACCTCTCTCTTAAGAACTGTGCAGCACCGTGGGCAATCTGACAATCTCGTTCCATTTCTCCAAAACGCAGGCCACCATCACTGTTGATAAGAAAACAAGAGCTCGTTTTGTACTTACTTACTGTGGATCTATGTGAACGCCAGTGTCAGTGCACAGGTGTGGAGGTCAGAGGGCAGACTGCAGGAGTCCGTTCTCTCCTGGGAACTGAACTCACATGGTTAGCTTAGCTAGCGTAAGCGCCTCTACCCACTGAGCCACCTCGCTAGCCCTGCACTGACCTTCACCTCCGTGACTAATGACAGGAGTGAAGTAGCAGCAGTAGACAGAACCAAGTTTGCCCTGGCAATCTCTCTAACCTGGTGAGGAGGGGAAAGTCAACCAAGCATTTAGTAATCATCAAAAGGTCTCCAAATGAAGTAGAGAAAACGTGCTCAAGTACAGCATACAATTTTCCTCATCAAATGCAGTACAAAACAGAGGCTCATCATGCTATCATTTAACTTTCCAGAATTCAACTCTATCCTTGAAAGCGAATTTAAAAAGACAATCTAGATAAAACAGCTTCTCAATAAGGGGTTCCCCAGCAATCGAGGCAGAAATGATAAATGCAGTAACAAACACAATGGAATAGGCAAGTGATTACAGGTTTCCCGTGTACAGTTACACGCATTCAATGGCCACACAATTTTTAACGATGGCCTCCTTAATGTAACACATGCACTGGTGATCTCAAGATTGAATGAACCACTGGGCTTATAATGAATGCTGTTACTACAACACCGGCTCATAATGAAAGTCCTATATTGACAGTTGGTAAACAGAGGGAGAGAGCATTTACCCTGCCTCCATTACAGGAACCCCACCACCATGGAACTAGCTGATGGGCCAGCCTTCCAAGTGTCTGCACAGCTAACAGTAGAGGGACAGATAAAAATTAGACTCTCGTCCGTTTGTACTCTCTAGTTCATCAAAGGCTTTACACAATCAACAGCTTCTACAGTCATGAAAAGAAAGGCTCCCAG